CTAGACCGAAGTATTTTTGCACTAGACTTAGTTTCAATTTTGGTCCCCTCAATGCAACAGGCTTCGTGAGTACTTACTATGGAAACAGAGAGAGAACAGCACCTTGAGGAACTCCACCTTTAGTAAGCAAAGGAGAGGAAGATACACCATTATATACCGTGTACTGCATCCTATTAGAGAAGTAAGAGTGTAGCCAGTTGATAGCCCATGGCTCAGTTTGTGTAAGGCTAAGCTTGTTTAACAATAGGCCCCTAGGTACAGAGTTGAAAGCAGATGTATAATCAAGGAACGTACAACGAACATACTTGGCCCCTTTGTCTAAGGAGGATACAATGTTGTGATGAAACACAGCAGCAATATCCAAAGTACTTCTACCCTGTTTGTAAGCAAACTGTTTTGGATCGTTTGAGAAAATTAGGTTCTTGGTCTGCTCATTCTCGGAGTTTCTTGTTGTTAATTCTTCCTGAGAGATCAACTGATCTCCAGTGTGGAACCAGAGGAGGCAGCCGTTGATAAGTGTCTTTGTGCTCAAAGCTTCTGACCCACATAGAAGAACTGACCAACTGGCTTAACATACGTGTTGAACAGAATCCGAATTTCATTGTTTATGCTGAGGCGGAGTGCAAAATATTTGCAAACTGATTTCAGAGTGATAAATATCTGATTCGGCTTTCCGACTCTGGCTGGTTTCGACATCCTTGTCCTTGCCGGCTGCCTGTATTTGAAACGATGTTACCTAGCCATGTATATGAGGAAAGTGACCTTCAAATTTCTTCCGTTGGTAGCGATTGATGCTAATTGTTCTTGGTTGGTTGGTTTGTTATCTTCATCACCTCTGTCTTCTCTATGTTCACTTGAAGTCCTGTCTTCTCTGCCAGCCTCTTCTTCCACATTGTTGGTTTTCGTCAGCAGGTGTTGAGTTTGTGTTGCATAAGACATAAATCATCGGCGAAGAAGCGATTTTCTGCAGCCTTCTCATCGATCCAGAGTATTCCTGTCTTCTCACTCCCCACTCTCAGCCTTCCACATAATCCACTTCACAGCAGTTAGGAATATTATCCGGTGGCAGTAGTTGGAAGCCTTGTCTTACTCCGTCTGTCCTCGTTTCAGAGACATGCTTCGCTAGGTTTGGCATTTTGGATCACCCGGTACGTGTTATTGTCAAATAGCTTTGGTTGAATGAGGGTGATAAACATTTGCAGCACTGCGCTCCATAGTGTTGAATTAGTCTCCAAATTACTTCAAGATCAACACAGTCGAAGGCCTTTTCAAATTGGTCGATGATAATGAAGTATAGTAAGATTTTATTATCATTCTATGCACTGTTCGATGATGGTGATTATGCATAGAGTTTCAATCTGATCGACAAATTATTTGCTTTTCATCAATCTAGCTTGTTTCGGGCGAAGTTTTAAATCGAGTTCATCTTTTGTCCTCTCCAGAATGACCTGACTTAGTATTTTGCTTGACATAGACAGAGGCCTGAGTGGCTTTTCCGTGGTAGTCTGGCAAGGTAACCTTTCTTCCAATCAGACTTGGTTAGTTAGTTAGCTGGTTAGAACGTAACTTTCATCCCGAAGAAATGTTTCATATATCTTATCAGGGGGAAAATGTGCCACACACACGCTCAGTTACTTAGAATGTCGTCACTGAAGGCGCTTCCTATTCAAAATAAACAACAACCAACAAATCGCTAACTCTCTGTATTGGCAAAAGTGAGGGGAATTTATTAGCTGATGCATTATCCGCATAAACATGGATTTCAATGAACCCATGAAAATTGACGCTAAAAATCAAATCAACAATATAGATTCCATTAATGCATTGAAAACTAGTGAAGGCACTATTTGTACAAAATCAGTAGATATGATCAGCTCAATTGCAAAGGTTTTCACTCCAGTTTCCACTACGTGCCATTTTGCCAAAAATGCCTTTTGCAGATATCTTGAACTCAGCTAGTGAAATCTCTTCTGATGTTCAGTTCATTTCACAGAATGTTTAAGATTTAGCCTATCTCACCAATCGTCATGATTTCGACCAACTCCGTATTCATTTGATTGATGAAACCATCATTTTCGGAAATACTTCCTCCTGACACTGATCTCGATGGAGCAATGCAAATTCTTCGTAAATTGTTTGGACAGCATGCAGTGGTATTCGATATCCATTAGAAATGTTTAATTCTATCCGAGGGACAATGTGACGACTCCCTTACTTTTTCTGTTAAAGTCAACTGTTCACGAAGCAAGTGTCCCACAGTATTTGTGGAGGTGGGAGAGGTGTCATAGACAGAGTGTACTCAGACCTACAAATATCTTCCGGTGATCTATTAAAAAGGGGAGGTGTTAGGACGGATTAAATATCTTTGTTATCCGTGACGTGATAGCTGATACATGCGCTGACATAATGACACTCTACTGGGCAATTTTTGATTGATTTATTTTGGAGGGTCTCCGATGTCATGCTATCAATCAGATATTGATTATCTATTCATTGATTAAATTTCCGTTGATGTGTAAACAATAGATATACTCTGCTGTCGCGGTTTTCGCAGTTGAATCTGATTTCTGTGTCATCTATCTCAGTGTGGTGGAGGAATATTTCCAAGTGACCATTTGGTTGGAGTGTCGTGTCTGGAGGCGCATTGTAGACAATGACCAACAAATCCCTAACACTCCATTATAACACAAACTTTTATTGAGTGAATTGAGATAAAATATACGAGGGAAAGGGAGAGACAGTGACCGAAATATAAATATTGATTACCAATGCCAAACAATCATTTTAAAGTAATGACCATCACACAGAATCATTTTTTAAAATTTTTTTGTGTTTAACCTCACTTTTTCATTTGTTAGACAGCAAATCAATTAAATCAGTTATCAGCCCGTAGAAAGGCGAAAGCAGAAAAAGAAATCGGCAGACAGAAATTATTGGAACAAATAAAGTTACAGGTGAGTTAGGGGTTAGAGCGTTGCACATCTTCATCACTTGAATCTGTTCGTCATAGTCCTTTGTTTAGCTGTCTACACGATCTCTGCCAAAAGCTTTAATCTCCTACATGTCACCCTCATAGCTTACCTGCCAATTAATGATTACAGTCAAAACATCTGTTATTCGAGTGTGATTTCATTCAACCGTCTCCTTAATGCATGTAAGAGGTCGATGTTCTTCATTTCTTTCTCCATATTCACCGGTTGAGCGGTAGGTTCTTGGTTGATTCGTTGTTAGAACTGATTGGTGCTTTCATTCTTTCTGTGTGTTCACATAGAAATTATTGATATAAGTATAAAACTTGTGGTAGAGTATAACTCCATTATGGATAATATTTTATTTTAATAAATCACACCGTGTTGTACTATAATATTAACTGATGACGCTTCGAACACAAACTATTGCTCATAATCGAAAAGTCATCAGTTAATATTACTGTATAACACTGTGTGATTTTTCAAATTCAGATTGATTCTGTTAAAACTGTGTGATTTATCATTAAAAAATCTTATCCATAATGGTTTTCACATAGAAGTCTTCCATAACCCGATGGAAATGCTTAATGTCACATATAATTGTATTATTTCTCGCTTGCTTTCCAACTGGAACATACGGCTTCAATTGGAGCACACCTCCATATCGTCCTATTCTCTGCAATTCGCTTCACCTGGACCCATAATCACTCATAAGATTTCATCTCCTCTTCACCACACGATCTCGTCCATATCAGCCTCAGACTGACGCCAAACTCCTTGTTTCTCATTTACGTCCCATTCGACAGATGGCCTGGCTAGTACACAAATTCATTAGACGATTTCCTCAGAATGCGTTCGATCCATCCATTTCCATTTTCTTTGGAATATTTGTTCAGTAGGCAATAGGTTCTTCATTGGTTTATTCCGAGTGCTTTTTGCTGATAATTCTTTCTGGACGGTCATCTAACCTTCAGTATAGAGCTAGAGAAGGCAACTAATGATAAGAGTTTGGAGCAGAAGGTCTGTATGAAATGCAAACCATAACGCACTGGCCAAGTTTCTGACCCATATGGAAGAACCGATTGATTTAACATTGGAGTTGAAATTCCGAACCTTGTTCTTTATGCCGAGTGCAGAAGGTTTCTAAACTGAATTCCAAGTGATGAAAGTCTGTCTTGCCTTACCGATCCTAAATGGCTTTGACATCCGCATCCATTTCTCCTAGTACTGAAACGATACTTCGTGCATAAGTGAAGGAAGTAAACTCATTCAAATTTTTCCCGTCAATAGTGATTAATCCTTTCAGATCTTCCAGAATCATCTTATCGGTCCAAAGTTTTCCAGTTTTCTCGCTCCCTACATGCGGTGTAACGCATAATTCAGTTCGTCACAATTAAAAGTATCATGACTTGTGATAATAGGCAGTCTTGTTTTACTCCTTCCTTCACTTCAAACGCAGGTTTCGTTGAGTTTTCCACTGCTGACCACTTGAAACGTGGTACTGTCATACAGCCAGCTATCGAATGAAATTAATAAAGACGTGGGGTTCTAAATAGTGATATGTAACATAAGAGGCACCTTTCCTAACCTCACAGAATCACTAACTGTTGAAAATCCTAATCTTGTTCTTTACACCTAGTGTAGTTTTCCACACACAACGTCAGATTAATGAAAGTTTTTCTGTCTTGCTTTTCCAACTCAGCATGCCCTCGATATCCTCTTCAATACTGTCGCCTATAGATGAAAGGATGTTACACCTAACTAATTTGCCAAAAATGTCACGGATCGCATCTACCTGCTAGTGCAAACTCAGCAGACAAAACTCATTACTGAGACAAAACAAAAACTATCCAGTCAAAATTTTCCCTTCCATGAAGTCACAATGTATATGTGATTTTGAAAAGAAAAAATTAGTAAACTAATTACTTAAAATGTCATTTACTGATTTTTGTGCCATTTTTTAGACCAATTTTTGATAATTCGTTATATTTCTTTTTGTTTTATTGTTACTTATTTTCCACTGTATTACAGAATACGGTACAAGTTACCCGTGATCGCGAACGTTTAATCCAATTGACAAAAGGTTGGGAGATACGTTTATCCCAACCGAAAACAGAGACTGTCATTAATCAAGGTTTGAATTTAAGTTCACCATCAGGTAGAATGATACCTGAATGGAGAAGGAATTTGTAAACAATAATCACGTCAGCTTTTAAGATTTCAAACGATTTAATTTGTAATATATTTTATATTTCTTGAACAGCTTTAAAGACGATTTCCAGAAGAAATCTCTAAAATCTACTTGTAAATTCTGCCAAATAATAATAAGAATAAGAAAAATATATAATTAATTAGAATGAATCAAAGCCTAACTATCAGCAAGCCGCATAAAGGCGATGGTATATTGTTATTGAACAAAAGTGATTACGCTGAGAAAATCGAAGATATTTTGGATGATCGAACTTAATCCGAATCCCTTGTCAATTCCAATGAAGTCAGTGTAGAAGCAGAGAAATTGATGACAGATTCTCACAAGAAACTGAATCAAAAAGGAATACTGTCATCAGCCATGTATGAGTCTATGAAACCAACGGGTACCAACACTCTATGTCTTTACGTTCTACCCAAAGTCCATAAACTCGGTCTTCCTCTTCGCCCACTTTTAGATATGTATAACTCACCATTTCAAGGAACAACAAAGTGGTTAGTCAAGATTCTAGGACGTTTGCACACGAAAATTGCGCGACATAGAATTAGCGGTTGCTTTGACTTCTAAAATATCCAAGACTAATATGAGGGATAAACTTATATTATCCATGGATGTATCATCACTATTCACGAATGTACCACTTATCGAAACGGTAGATTACATTTGTTAAGCGAATACCGAAAGGCAAATGGACTTAGGAATCCCCTTGTGTAGCCTCAAACAACTACTCCTTAAATGCACAATCAGTGTGAACTTTGCTTTCAATAATTCACATTAGCAACAAGTAGGTGGAATAGCTATGGGTTCACCATTAGGCCCAATATTGGCTGACTTCTATCTTGCAAAACTTGAAAACGGGAGATTGAAAGACATCATCAAGGAATTGGATATGTATTACCGTTATATTGATGATAGATTAGTCTTAGTTGATGGGAATGCAAACATGGGCGAATTGTTGATGAAATCCAATAACCTCCATCCTTCGATTACTTTTACTTGTGAGGAGGTGCAGGATAATAAGCTACATTTTCCGAATGTCTTGTTAAGTAGGCGAGAAGATGGGTTACTTAGTAGGAGCGTGTATAGAAAAAGCACATTCACAGGGCAATACACACACTTCCTAAGTTACGTGCCCATTAAATATAAAAGAAATGTTGTTAGATGTCTTACTAGCAGAGCAAGAAAGATATGTATGGGTGACCACTTACAATAGGAATTTGAATATATTCAGGATTTCTTGACGCAGAAGGGTTATCCGAGCAGTTTCATAAAGAAACATATGAAAACATCAGAGAGAAAACCTAAGACTATGACTGCGTGTAAAATGACCTCTGTTTATTAAGTCATAATTTAATTGTGACTTGTCAAGCTAGATTTTATTCTACAGACTTTCCAGCAGTATACGATGAACGTCTTACTCAGCAAACCTATGTTTGTCATTCTCTAGCCGGAGAATAATTGGGACGCAAAAGAAGGATAAGCTAGACAGTTTCGCCACATCTATGCGCATTTATCACTCCAACTGCACCTGTGGTGACAGTTATGTTGGGCATACTACTAGACAGCTTAGCCAACGTGTTAGTGAACACCTCCCATCTTGGTTTAACAGAGGACGGATAAAAAAAATCCGCAGCTCAGTTCTGTCATGTAGTGGAGAAAACGAAAGCATTTAAGGTGATCATTCATCGAATCCCGCTGAATCTTTCCAATAGACTTCGTATTCGTCTACTACATATACACCTTAGGCGATAGACATTCGAATAAATAATTTTGACGAATTATTTTCAGAAGTCATACCACACAAACAATCCACTATACTTTGATTGGAAAGTAGGCGATGAATAACTAATGTGTCATGCGTCCAACCAGTTCTTCATTTGGTGTAGACGGTGAATTGACTATCACAGTTAAGTTCCCAATGTGGCCACCATCATCCAACTGGATTACTCGCCATCGCATTGCATTCTTAATTTCTGTTTTTGTTAGATAGTTGGAGACAGTGTGCAGGAATCCTTGATAGCACTTTTCAATTTCTTGACATGAAGGACGAGACCTAGGTTGAACTCCTGCTGCCAATTGCCTCCAGCCATCTAACATTTAGTCTATTTATTATCCCATCATGAACTCTTTGACAATGTCTGAACATTAACCTAATGTTATTTTAGTGTGGAAGCTACTGCAAAAGTATGGTGTGCCCCAGATCTTTATCAACCTCATTCAACAATTGGCTATATGACACTGCCGCACGAATATTATTATTGTTGTTGTCGCTTGTTACCCTTCTTGTTGTGAATTATTTTCCCGTGCTGGTGTTTTTCTGCTTGTTTATTCCCTGTTTTCCTGGTTTTTAAGGGGAACAACCCACAAGGTCGCTTCTCTCTAAATTATAAATTGATGTAACAACCCCCCTTCTCAGGCGTAAGGCTAGCAACCCCACCCTGTAAACAACCTGCTACAGAAACTTCAGCACGATGTATCTCCTTGAGACAAAAGAAAAAGTCTTTGTGGGGACATGGAATGTCCGTACTATGTACGAGATTGGCAAAGCTGCCCAGATCGCAAACGAAATGAAAAGATACAAAATTCAAGTACTGGGAATATGTGAAAGCAGATGGAACGGGAATGGACTCACCAAATTGTCAACAGGTGAGTCAGTGATCTACCTCGGTCACACAGAGGATAACCACACACACACCGAGGGCGTGGCTATCATGATGTCACCAACGGCAACGAAGGCCCTCATGCAATGGGAGGCGATCTCGCCCAGGATAATAACCGCCAGATTCAACTCCAAAGGAAGGAAAGTGTCAATTATACAATGCTATGCACCGACCAACAACGCAGACCTCGAAAAGAAAGAAGAATTCTACAGACAACTGCAGACAACAATGGACAATACTCCAGCTGGTGACATCAAAATACTAATGGGAGACATGAACGCCAAACTGGGATCAGACAACACAGGAAGGGAACTCATCATGGGTAGAGAAGCTCTCGGAGAAATGAATGAAAACGGAGAACTCTTCGCCGACTTCTGCGCCTTCAATGAACTAGTGATTGGTGGCAGCGTATACAAACACAAGGATATCCACAAGGCTACATGGGTGTCACCAGATGGGCGAACCAAAAACCAAATCGACTTCATCTCAATCTCAAAGAAGTGGAGGCGCAGCCTGCTGGACACAAAAGCAAGAAGAGGAGCAGACATTGGCTCAGACCACTATCTCGTACAAGGGACAATCCAAATCAAATTAAAAGCTTTCAGAGAATCAGGAGCTGCAGATAGACCACAAGCCAAGTTCAACACTCAAAAACTGAAGGACCAGGACACAAAGGACATCTTCACTGCAAGCATAAAGGACAAAGCCGAGACACAAATCAACACTAGCGAAAAGGTCAGCGTCGAAAAGCACTGGAACAACTTGAAAACAGTGTGGAATCAAACCTGCATGGAAGTTCTAGGCAGAAAGAAGAGACAGGACAAACAATGGCTCACTACGGACACTTGGAGACTGATAGAAGAGAGAGGGATGGTGAAACAAAAGATTCTCCAGTGCACCGACGAGCAACAAAAACAGGATTTGAATGCAAGCAACAAGACACTGAACAAAAGAGTAAAGAAGAGTGCCAGAGAAGACAAAAGAAAGTATTATGAAACCATGGCAAGTGAAGCAGAACAAGCTGCAGGCAAAGGAGACCTCGCAACACTCTACCAAACAACTAGGTACCTATCGGGCAAAAGTTTGACACAAATCAAGCCGGTGAAGGATGACAATGGAAAGTCACTCAACAAAGAAGTGGAGCAAAGGAAACACTGGGCTGAACACTTCAAAAGACTCCTAAATCGACCACCACCTACAACGCGCCCAACAATACCAACGACGGAGACAGAGCTACCAGTGAACACCAACCCCCCGACGAAATCAGAAGTCCTGAAGGCAATCAAGATGCTAAAAGCTGGAAAAGCAGCAGGACCAGATGGGATCCCAGCAGAAGCATTGAAAATGGACCCAGAGACAACGGCGGACTTGATGACGCCACTACTGGAGAAGGTGTGGAAAGAAGGCAAAGTACCCGAGGATTGGAAGAAAGGATACTTATTCAAACTACCAAAGAAAGGAGACCTAAGTCAATGCAAGAACTGGCGCGGAATTATGCTCCTGTCCATCCCAAGTAAAATACTAAGCCGCATCATCCTGGAGAGAATCAAACATGCCCTGGATGAAAAACTTCGACCGGAACAGGCTGGATTCAGGAGAAACAAGTCATGCATTGATCAGATCGCCACATTACGGATCATCATTGAACAAAGCTTGGAATGGCAGTCACCTCTTTATCTCAACTTCATCGACTTTGAAAAGGCCTTCGACAGCGTCGATCGAGAGGTGCTTTGGCAACTACTTCGCTACTATGGGGTGCCACCGACAATTATACATCTCATCCAACAGCTATACGACAATGCTGCATGCCAAGTAATCCACAATGGGAAACTTACGGAACCCTTCGAAGTGAGGACAGGAGTAAGACAAGGCTGACTACTATCACCAATGATTTTCTTGATTGCAGTAGACTGGATAATGCGACAAACAGAGGAAACAGGCATAAAATGGACACACACAAAAACCTTGGAGGATCTGGACTTCGCCGATGATATATGTCTGATTTCCCACAAACTGGAAGATATGCAAGCGAAAAGCAACAAGTTAGCAGAAGAAGCATCAAAGATAGGACTTCAGGTGAACATAGATAAAACAGAGGTGATGAAAATTCCTGGGCAACACCACCAACAGCAACAACAACAACTGACAACAATCAGCATAAATGGGAGGAACCTGAAAGAAACAACCTCTTTTACCTACCTGGGAAGCATCGTTTCAACTACAGGCGGAACTGACGAGGATATCAAAGCAAGAATCGGAAAAGCAAGACAAGCTTTCACTACTCTCAAGTCTGTGTGGAGGTCAACAACACTCAGCATCAAAAA